GTGGAGGAAGTTCCGGTGGTGCGGGAGTTTCCAGATGTATTTCCCGAAGAGTTACCAGGAGTGCCTCCCGCGAGGCAAGTGGAGTTTGGCATCGATTTGGTTTCCGGGGGCCGCACCTATTGCTAAGGTGCCGTATCGCCTTGCGCCTCCAGAGATGCAGGAGTTATCCTCGCAACTTCAGGAGTTGCTGGGGAAGGGGTTTATTCGGCCGAGTAGCTCGCCGTGGGGAGCACCCATCTTGTTTGTGAAGAAGAAGGATGGCTCGCATCGCATGTGTATTGATTACCGGGAATTGAATAAGCTGACGGTCAAGAACCGTTACCCGCTGCCGAGGATCGACGATTTATTCGATCAGCTACAGGGAGCATCTTGGTTCTCCAAGATTGATTTGAGGTCGGGCTATCATCAGGTGAGAGTGCGGGACGAGGACGTCCAGAAGACAGCATTCAGGACACGTTATGGGCATTATGAGTTTGTGGTGATGCCTTTTGGGCTCACTAATGCCCCGGCTGTGTTCATGGACCTCATGAACAGGGTATGTCGGCCGATGTTGGATCGGTCGGTGATTGTTTTCATTGATGATATTCTGGTATATTCGAGATCTAGTGAGCAGCACGAGGAGCATCTGAGGGAGGTGCTTGGGGTTTTGAGAGCGGAGAAACTTTACGCAAAGTTCTCCAAGTGCGATTTCTGGTTACGGGAGGTCCAGTTTCTGGGACATCTCGTTAACCAGAAGGGGATATTGGTCGATCCGGCCAAGGTTGACGCAGTGATGAGGTGGGAGGTGCCGAGGTCACCTTCTGAGATACGGAGTTTCCTCGGGTTGGCAGGGTATTATCGGAGATTTATTAAGGATTTCTCCAAGATAGCGGTTCCACTCACCAGATTGACCCGGAAGGGTGTGGCATTTGCATGGGGTCCCGAGCAGCAGACCTCCTTTGAGACGCTTCGCCAAAGGTTGTGTGAAGCTCCAGTATTAGCCCTTCCGGAAGGTATGGAAGGTTTTGTGGTATTCTGTGATGCATCGATCCTAGGATTGGGAGCGGTATTGATGCAGAAGGGTCATGTGATAGCTTATGCATCGAGGCAGTTGAAGCCTCACGAGACGAGGTACCCACACATGATTTGGAGTTGGGGGCAGTGGTGTTCGCCCTCAAGATTTGGCGGCACTACTTGTATGGGGTTCGTTGTACGATTTACACGGACCATAAGAGTTTGAAGTACTTGATGGATCAGCCTAACCTAAATATGCGGCAGAGGAGATGGTTAGACGTGGTCAAGGATATGATTGTGAGATCTTGTACCACCCGGGCAAGGCTAATGTGGTAGCCGACGCGTTGAGTCGCAGGGCGGAGAGTACTCCCCTGCGAGATGTATGTTTGAGATTGACCGTGATAGCTCCAGTTCTGGACGCCATTCGTGGGGCTCAGGCCGAGGCCGTGCGTCCGGAGATGCAGAAGAGAGAGCGGGTTGTTGGGATGGTTTCTGAGTTTATATCGGATAGTCGAGGCCTTATGACTTATCAGGGCAGGATCTGGGTACCGTTTGTGGGCGGTACCCGTGCTACATTGATGGAGGAGGCTCATAGATCGAAATTTTCGATCCACCCCGGGGCCACGAAGATGTATTTGGATCTAAGGAAGGAGTATTGGTGGCCCTGTATGAAGAGGGATGTAGCATGGTTTGTCGAGAGGTGTTTGACCTGTCGAAGGGTAAAGGCCGAACACCAGAGACCGCATGGCAAGTTGCAGCCATTGGAGGTTCCCGAGTGGAAGTGGGAACAGATCACTATGGACTTTATCACCAAATTGCCGAGGACTGCCAGAGGAGTTGATGCAATTTGGGTGATTGTGGATAGATTGACAAAGAGCGCTCACTTTCTTGCCATCAGTGAGAGTTCTTCAGCAGAGAAGTTGGCGGAGGTTTACGTGAGGGAGGTTGTATCTCGGCATGGGGTGCCGATCTCGATTATTTCAGACCGCGATGTGCGTTTCACTTCCCGTTTTTGGAAGAAATTTCATGAGGAATTGGGTACTAAGTTGCATTTTAGTACCGCATACCACCCCAGACCGACGGTCAGAGTGAGCGGACGATACAGACACTCGAGGACATGCTTCGAGCTTGTGTATTGGATTTTGGGGGTAGTTGGGACTCGTATTTGCCTCTAGCGGAGTTTTCCTACAATAACAGCTATCATTCGAGCATTGGTATGCCGCCCTTTGAGCTGTTATATGGTAGGAGGTGTCGGACTCCCATATGTTGGGGAGAGGTTGGGCAAAGGGTAATGGGCAGTACAGAGATCGTGAATCAGACGACAGAGCAGATACAGCTGGTCAGGCAGAGGTTATTGACCGCTCAGAGCCGGCAGAAGAGTTACGCGGATAGGCGCCGGTCCGAGTTGGAATTTCAGGTCGGCGACTTTGTTCTCCTGAAGGTCTCTCCTTGGAAAGGAGTGATCCGGTTCAGGAAGAGGGGCAAATTGGGACCCCGGTTTATTGGCCCGTTTCGTGTGATCGCCAGGGTGGGCCGGGTAGCCTATCGGCTGGAGTTACCAGCAGAGTTGGGACAGATTCACAACACTTTTCATGTATCGCAGTTGAGGAAATGTATAGCCGATGAGTCGGCAGTGGTTCCACTTGAGGATATTCAGGTTGATGCGAGCCTGAATTATGCGGAGAGACCAGTGGCTATTAGGGATCGGAAGATCAAGTTTTGAGGAACAAGGAGGTACCTCTGGTATTGGTTCAGTGGCAACATCGGAAGGGATCAGAGATGACCTGGGAGCCGGAGGATATGATGCGGGAGCAGCATCCGGAGCTGTTTTAGAGCGGACTTCGAGGGCGAAGTCCAGTTCTAGTGGGGGAGAGTTGTAACATCCGGATTTTACCAGGTATAATGTAAGTTTAATTGTTATATTGTTGAGGGACTCGGCGAGTCGGGCTCAGACTCGCCGAGTAGGGACGCGGATTGAGCGAAGGTGCGCGCTTGGACTCGGCGAGTCCAGGGTATGGACTCGGCGAGTCTGCGCTGTGTTATGAAACCCTAAATCCCCGGGTTTGTGGCCTATTTAAGGGGCCTTATGGCCGTCATTTGCGCTCATCCAACCCCCAGAGTGTGTCCCTAGAGTTCTTGAGCGTTTGGTGAAGGATTGAGAGCAAATCTTGACCTTGTGAGTGTTGTTTAGCAAGAAGAAGGAGGCTCTAGGCAAGAGGAAGCAAAGGAGGTTGCTATTTCGTGGATTTGGAGCTTGGATCATCACTCTAGAGGTATATTTTCGGACCATTTCTGTTTGGTGAAACTTGATGCAAGTTAGGGCTTAATATGATCATTTATGGGGTGATTTGGTGCCCTTTTGTTCCCTCTTTGAGTTGAGACCATGGATCTGGATCCATAGAGGTCCAGAGGGCCTCACTCATCAAGCTTTATGGGTGAAATGGAGTCCTTGGCCTTGTGTTGAAGTAATAGAGTCAAAAACATCATTTGTGATCATGTAGAGGTTATTTATGCATCAAGATTGTGACTTTACGTGCTAAATAAGCATGGGGGGACTGGATCTATGGATTAGTGGACTGGATCTGGCCTTTAGAGCAAGATTGAGTCAGTGCATGGCACGGACTCGCCGAGTCCGAAGAACAGACTCGGCGAGTAGCTTGAATGTTGCACGACCACTCAGCGAGTGGCCTCGCCGAGTTGGGATGAGTGAACTCAGTGGGTCAAGGGGAGTCAGGATGGACAGGTGGACCAGTCAAACCGGACTCGCCGAGTTTTTGAGACTCGGCGAGTTGAGTCGTGGTGGCCCCACAACTCGTGCCAGGTGGAGCTCGTCGAGTTGGGAAGGGATGCTCGACGTGTCAAGAGAGGATTCCAGGGAAATTGGTGATGCGCTCAGACTCGCCGAGTCGCTATAGTGCACTCGCCGAGTCCGGTCAAGTTGACCGTTGACCAGCGTTGACCTAGATTGTCCTGTTATGGTATGGTCAACCCTAGTTGGGAAAGTGTTAATTAGAGATATATTGTGCTATAGGGGGACTTCAGCTCGGCAGATCGAGTGTTTAGCGATTTCAGGGTTACGGTTTACCGAGACACACGAGGTGAGTCTTCTCACTATACTTTACCTTGAGTAGGTAACCAGAGTTATGTGATAGAGTAATTGTATGCTATGTATGTTATGTGTTGTACTGCATTACTTTATTGTTTGATGCTGTGCATGTTTACAGAGTTAGAACCGGAAGGTTCACAGAGTTAGAACCTGAGGGTTCGCAGAGTTTGGGTGCACGGACCCACAGAGTTATAGCCTCGAGTGGCTAATATGTGTTATATGTAGTATTTTGGGAAACTCACTAAGCTTGTGCTTACAGTGTTGATGTTATTTGTTTCAGGTACTAGTGACGACCGTGGGAAGGCGCCGGCTTGATCCGTACACACACGTTTGGAGCTTGACATTTTGATCTTGGGATTTTGTAATATTTGTTGAACAATTAAAAGGGGTTGTTTTATGAATATTGATGGAATTATGTTTTATAAAAATCGAAAATTTTGTTTGAAAAATCAGTGTTACACATCTAATCGTATGGACTCGAGTGTTAAACTTGTTACCATTAACATCTGATTCATAAGTCCTTTCAACAAGATTGTTACCTGCATAAATGAAAACAAATAGGAACATTAACAGCCCAGCTATGAACAATTTCACAAGATGCGCCAAAAATGATGATCATTACTAACTCCTTTCAAGGATAATTTGGTTTGGCTAGAAGATTAAACTAAATACAAATCATAAAGAATCTAAAAAAAGTCAAATGGGAGACTGCTATATATTACTCAACTTTATGATCAATTTGAAGCTTACTCTTGTGGTCTAATAAACTGTGTTTGCAAGTAAAACTTACACATGGTTGCTTTAGCAATTGATTTTGACATGTTATGATAGTTTTTTTTTTTGTTTTGGAAGCAACAATTCATTACCAAATGGGAGACTGTTATATATTGTACATATAATTCTAGTAAATTCTACCAGAAGAGTGCATGTGCAGTTCAATCCTAGACACAAATATCCTAGTATTCAAAAGCTGCAGAAACTCCTTTGAATTACTCATTTTCTTCGACTACAATATCAAATAATCCAGTTAGGGTTTATCATACTTTCAATGATGCAATAATAAAAAAATTAATAAAAGTAATGTGATACCTTTGCAACAAAAAAACCATCCATGTTATGGACATGAGGGTAGAAACGTCTTGTCTTTTCCAAAGATCGATGAAATCTACGTTCTCTAAATCGAACAAACCTTCAAAAGAATAATACAAATTCTTTTAGACACAAATATATTCATCAAATTTTTTTTTAAAAAAATAATAATAAATAGATACCTTGGGCGTCCAAAATCTAGTCCACATGGCACAAGTTTCACATCCCTCTTCTTCAGTGCATAGTCTATAACATCTTCATTCTGCAATATCACAAGGACTCAAATAAAAGATGTTGAAAATAAATATTCAGTCGTCAAATAACCCCTGTTTTTGAATTTGCATCCACTATGTCAATTGTTGCAAGTATTAATTCCTGCAAATCAACATATTTAAAATTTTAACATAAGTTGCTTAAAATAGTTAATAAAATTTTACAAGAATAATTGCATAAGTGATGTAAATGAAAAAACATACATAAGTGATCTAATTAAACTAATTGATAGAAAGCGTTTGGGTACCTTTTGTAGACGTGAGAAGTTTTGTACATCAATAGCAGTTTAGAGGTTTTGACAGATTCATCTTTAGATATAACCTGTAAAAATCATTAAAAATAAATAAATAAAAAAATCTTCTTATTAAACTAAAAACCATATAAAGCTTTTATGCTTATCCCAACACACTACAAGGAGCATCCAACAAAACCCTCTCTGCTATGTTATGTCCCAATACTTTTGGGAGCTGAAATCAAAAAAAAAAAAGCAAATTACAAAAATGCCCATAAACAGAAACTCAATATTATATAAACTGAAGAGTATTTCTACAACAATTCAGTGAGGATGAGGGCATTCGTGTCTTTTTCACAAACGAGAGATTCTAACCTTTTTGGTTAAGACAAATGAGGAAGATATAAAATTCTAGAATAAGTAAGTTTCTAAATTCATGAAAAAAATACCTGTTGTCTTTTTGCAAGCTGCCATCTTACAACACGGTGGATAATTTCCTTCCGAATGGGAAGATCAAAAGCATCACATGCAAACACCATCAATCCTTTGTCTTCTTTTTGAAGTTTGTAACTAGGATCACCAGGTCCTATAGTTGACCTGTGTCAAAGTCTTCATCAGAATTTAACCAAAATTGAAAAAATATTATAAATGGTGTAATTTTGTAAACTTACCAACAACTACTTTTGTAAAACCAGAATGCATTTCAAGGCTTCCTAAAAATAGTTTTTTTTTCTTAACAGATCACTCTTCAAGTCAACACAACACAGATTGAAATGTTCACTGTTGACAACTTTAAGAGGAAGTTCTACAGCCCACAAGCACTTGGGGGTCATCAATATGCTCACAAAAGGGATAGAGATGCAGCCAAACCTGAGTAATTTAATTAAACATCATTATTCTATGGATTTACCTACTGGAAATGTAGAACATCTTCTCCACCAGACAAAATGTATTTCCCATCCGAACTGATTAATTAAATTAAATCAAGATTTTTTTTCACTTGATAAAAGATTATGTAAGAATGACTTTTGTAATTTTATTACCTCCAGGCACAACATAGAACGGCACCATAGTAACTTTTTCCACCGCATATCAGTTGTTCATTTAAAAAATAAAACACATGTAAATAACCTATATTAAAAAAATGGAATCAAGATTAAAAAATGTAGGAAATGAGTTAGAATGTTACAGAGGAATGACCTCATATCATTGAAGTGGAGGGTGGAGGGTATCCCTGTACTCTCAAATGAGTTGGTGAAGGGTGTCACAATTAGGGACCCACTCAATTAACCCACTGTTTGGAGACAAAGGAATGACCTCATATCATTGACATGCCCCAGCTGCCCATTCTGCCCTTCCATTTGCATCAATAGCTGCCCACTCACGTGCATCAGCTTGTGCTCTTTGAACAACAGCCCTTTCAGACCTCAAACGATATTATGCATTAGACTTTTCATCTCATTCTATGTTCACCATCTAATCAACACATTTTAAAAATCAGATTGACATTCTTCTCGTAGCTAATATTCAGAAGCATAAAGGAACAGAAACAAGAAATCAAGAGCTTCTGCATCTATTTATGCACTCATTATAATCCTGGATTACATCAGGAAATTGTAGAAAGAAAATACCTGTGAAGTAAAATGTGGCATATTCAGCTTTAAAAACACCAAAAGTAGTTAAATCCTTGAACAACTATGCATTCCCCTGACTTATTGGAGTTTGCATATCACTAGACCCCTATCATTAATTATATTACCATGCAATTCTTCTAATGTATCAGCCTGCATTTAAAAGAAACATGAATTCTCTACAGCCTACATTTACTTCTAGAAGTTTGATTGAAGGTAATTTTTCCATATCCATTATAGTTCAAAGTTGTTGAAGGTAATTTTTCCATATCCATTATTTTTTATTGTTTCAATTTAGACAGGTCATCGAGTTCCCTGTTATTGTTATTGACCTCATCTTATTCTCAATCAAAATATTTTTTCCAGCTGAACATGGATCAGATGAGGGTACTAAT